TAGAAACCCTCTGTGGCAGTTTACTCTGCCCTAGAGGCTCAGTGGGGGTTGGAATCCACTCGGTAAAATGTAGTGGATTTGGTTTGGTTACTCTCTAAAATCTGCACAGGGTTTCCCCACTCTCTGAAAGTTGGGTTTTCTTATAAAAGAAGAGAGAAGCCCTCAACGAGATGAAGTGACCCTAACTGCGGGCGTGGGCTGAAGCATAGCAGCAACGGTGAGGGTGGAGCTGGCCTGGGCCGGGGCTCCGCTCTGTTGTGCGGGAACTGGAGCTGGAACCACCTCGCCTGCACGGCACAGCAACAACGGGAAACCCTTCCTAAGACCAAATGCAAAAGCAAAGCCACAGCGACCATTCATCGACATGGGAGACACTGCTGAGCATTCCCAGTCTCAAAATTTCACCTAGCAAAGCAGACCAAAGCACGCACGATCATAGAACCCTCTCACCCACAGCATCCACAGATTCTGTTCAGAGCTGCGGCCGCGCGAGGCTGACGTGCTCAGGGCAGTTCACCGCGAAGGACCTGGGGGATGCCACTCTCAGCGCTCAGGCTTCTCAAATGGCTCGTTGTGAACAGGCTCACAGTAATTTCGTTTGAGCCTTTTTTCTTAAAAGTCAAAGCCCTCTGGATTTCTTTTGGTTAGTGAAAGAAGTCTTTCATCCCAATGAAGGGTGGTGGAAAGCAAACATTTGAAAAGCGAGCGATACCTGTATTTGTAGTTGTTTACCACCCATTTTGTTTCCTTTGTTGTAATGTAATATCCTTGGATTTTCCAACTCTACTGGGTTGATGGGCATCGCAAGCTTTATATGTCTGCCTGCTCCTTGTTTTCAGAGCTTTTTGACTATATTAGCTTTGATGTTTCATTTCTATTAAAAGCCCACAAAGACATAACAGTTCTTATAAAACCAAGATAAAGGAAGTGCTGGGGCTTGAATGGCACCCTTCTTTCTCTCTCAGATGGCATTTAAAACTGATCAAAATGCCAGCTCTGTGCTAGTCCTTCCTTTCATGGATAGAAATAGCATATGATGTCAGTTACTAAAATTAAGTCCATTGTGATTTATATGAAGAGTGCTAAAAGTTTCGGCTAATGATGGGACATTAGAGAATAGACCTGCGGGAGAGGGAGAGGTCACAGTTATTTAGTCATCGGAAAAAATCCATTTAAACATATGTTAAGCCACGTATTTGACTTTACCTCATTTATAAGTGGTACAAAGGGGAGTCATGAGACTAAAAGACTTTATGCTGCTGAAGTTAGTTCTATCCTATGACTGAAGAATATCAGTAAATGAAAATGGATCGTAAATCTTCCTCTGAAGACTAAGAATCAGAACTCTGGAGTATATGAGTCTTTGTATAATGATGAAGAAATCACGTAGACCCAGTTCTGATTGAATCTTAATCTGTATATTCTTGTTTCTATACATTTTTTGATAATACAATAAATTCCACCACCCTTTTTCCCAGGAAAAATGAGACTGAACATAGTTATCCATTTCAGTATATCATTTCTTGCATATTCAAGGACTTTACTCTTACAAGTTTTCTTTATTTCTCCTTGTTTATGTATCACCAGATATTTCCTCTTCTGAATGATTCCTACCAGTAACACCAACCGACCTCCCAATCTAAAAAACAAAAACTCATATGACCCCACATTCCGCTGTCACTATTGCCTTTTAAAAATTTCGTTTTCCTTCAAAGAAAAACTCATTGAAAAAGTCGTGTATGTTCACTCTCCCCACCTCTTCCATTTTGCCTTGAACTCACTTTTTTCAGGCATTTGTTCAGTCACTAAATGGGAACTGCCCTCACTAAGACAATCAGCAACTGTGCCTTGCCCAAGCCATTGACCAGTTCTCACAACTCGTATTCAACCTATCACCTCCACGGGTCATCTTAAAACACTTACATAGTAAAGCATTTTCTGTACTTGGACTTCTAGAACCTCCTTCTTTCTTAACTCTATTTAGCCAATTACTCCTTTTCATAAGCCTGACTCAGGTTCCTCCAGGGTTTAGTACTCAAACCTCTTCTGTCCACCCTGGTTCCATAAGTAATGTCATTGAGACACCTAACATTATGTATTATCGACATGGTAATTAGTCTTAATTTTTTATCTCTAGTCCAGATCTCTCTACTGAAATCTATAATCACATACTTCTTCTGTATTATCACTTGGATTTTCTCAGACTTAACTGGCCAAAAAAATAATTGTTTCCTTGCTCAGTCCCTGCACCACAAACCTGCTCAGCCTATTCTTCCAAACTTTTCTAACTCAGAAAATGGTAGCTTTTAATTTTCCAATTGTTTAGTCCAGAAACTTCATAGTTATCCTTGACCATTCATTCATTCCCATTCCTCAGCTATAATCCACCAATAAATTGTGTCAGCTCTACTTTAAAAATACATTGAGAATCTGACTACTACTTATCATTTCCACTAATAAAAAAAGTTGTATCAAGCCACCACTCTCTCACTTAGTTTACCACAATAACCTCCTAATTATTCTCATGGATTCCATTCTGTCTCTCCTGCTGTAGTCTTCTTTTCTTCCTGGAAACTAGAGTGGTGCTTTTACAACACAACCTTTAAAAGCATCCTATGGGGGAACCGATTACAGGAATCTGTGTATGGCCTCCTCCCTGGGAGATGCACAGCAGAGAAGAGGGCAGGGCGAGACATCAGACAGTATAACATATGACAAAATAATGATAATTTATAAATTATGGAGGGTTCATGAGGGAGGGGGAAGGGAGAGGGGGAAGTGAGGAGCCAATATTAAGGGCTCAAGTAGAAGGCAAATGTTTTGAGAATGATGATGGCAACAAATGTACATATGTGCTTGACACAATGGATGGATGTATAGATTGTGATAAGAATTATACGAACCCCCAATAAAATTATTTTTTTAAAAAACTAAAAAAAAAATGCATCCTATGTTGTCCTACCTCATTCAGACTCATGATAAGGATGCATTATATTCCACAGAGCCTTATTATAGGCTCTGACTTAGGGCTGCCTCTCTGATATCATCACCTACTACTTTCCCATTTTTTATGCCATTCCAGCCCAAACTAAAGCTACTGCCCTCAAGCTGATTCTAACACAACAACTCTATAGAGCAGCGGTTCTCAACCTGTGGGTTGAACAACCCTTTCAGAGGGGTTGCCCGATTCATAACAATAGCACAATTACAGTTATGAAGTAGCAATGAAAATAATTTTATGGTTGTGGGGGTTCATCACAACAAGAGGAACTGTATTAAAGGATCGTGGCATTAGGAAGGTTGAGAACCACTGCTGTGCAGGGTATCCTAGCCTGTAAATCTCTATGAGAGCAGAGAGCCTCATCTCTTTTCAGCAGAGTGGCTGGTGAGTTTGAACTACCAACCTTGCAGTTAGCAATCCAGTGCCTACCCAATAGCACCACCAGGGATCCTTTTCAGGCCATTCTGACCCTGCTAAAAAACATAATTCACAGTGAAACTGCTACCGTCAAGTTAAAATTTTACGATAACTTAAGGACAGATGTAGTATTACCTCATTTATGCACTCTCTCTGAATCAGCAGAGCATCTGGAAAGCAATAATGATTAAAACACTATCAGAACTTGGGATCTAGCTAACACACTGCTTAGATAATCATTCAGAACTGGGTGATGAGTGATCTAGTGCACAAATTCTACCTCACTGCCTGCTTGCTCCGACTACTTCCGGCACCAATTATACCAGATGGGGTCCTCTAGTCGATAGACACCAAAATAGAGTTAGAAGTTTTGGGAGAGTGCTTATGAGAGAGAAAGAGGAGAGAAAGAACACAGGAAGGCAGCTACCACAGACCACGATGTAGCTCAGATCCCTGTGAAAGGAGACAGGCCAAGATGGAAGATTGGTTAGGAACAGACTTCGAAAGTCTCAGCCAACCATGTATCAAGTTCTGGTTTAAAGGTTGTTGGTAGGGAGTCCTGGTTGGATAGGAGTGGCTCCTTAGAGCTGGTGCCCTGCTGTGCTCAGTCATTGGCTAGGACTGAGCGAGTATGACATGTAGGGAGAATGTGGATTTCACTTGAGCAAGACAGCAGTACGTCAGCTCACTGCTCACCTCTTGGCAGGTTGTCACGGGTAGACACACAGGATTAGCACACCTCCATAGCTCCTGGAGTTAGGTGTATAATTCTTTTAAGAAAAGTTTAACATGTTCGTATTAAAGTTATTCTGACATCATATTTATATCTATTTTGCTTTTGTGGATGGAACCTTTTAATTTATCCTATAACTTCAAACCAGTTTTCACAGCTATAAAAGATAAAATGATTTATAAAGTATAAAAAGATTTCCTTTTTAATCTTGCTCCCTTATTTTGTTCTTTGTTTTTATTTGAGAGAGAATCTTATTCCTTATTTTGAATTCTTACCAGTTAAAGAGTTTTTCAGATGCTTCTCTGCAAAGCATATCTGCAGTGAGGTCATTTGCAGATGTTAATTTTATCTGCTTTCCAAAAGTGGAAAACAGATGCCTCTGTTATCATCCTATAATGCTATCGTTCTAACATTACCAATCATTTTCTTGTTAAGAAAATATCCCTTTTCCAGGTTACAAAGGGATTTTTTTAAAAAGAGGTGAGCGTTGTCCTCAAGTTTATTGTCACTGCAGAGGAGTAAAAAGTTTGAAAGATTCTAGACAGGAAAGGGAAATTTTGCCTAGGAAAAGTACACTTTGAATTATTTCCACAGACAAACATTTTGATGAAAGTTAATAAAAGAACATAGTGGAAGGAAAAAGTGTGTATGTTTTTTACATTTAAACTCCAGATTTATTTCAGAACTCGTGCTTGATTCGTAGTAGTTCTCACTTCCTTTCCTACGCAACTTGGTAAAATGTCATTAGACCTTTCCTTCCTACATTTCTACTTTTTTTTAAAGCTTTTTTTAAAAAAAATCATTTTATTAGGGGCTCATGCAACTCTTATCACAATCCATACGTACATCAATTGTGTAAAGCACATTTGTACATTCATTGCCCTCATCATTCTCGAAACATTTCCTCTCCACTTAAGCCCCCGGCATTTCTACTTTTTATGCCAAAGAATCCCCAGAAGTGGGTTGTGTTTTCCATTTTGCCACCTACTTTGCCTAAAAAATCGTGGTCTTCTACCTAAAATCAATTTTGTCACTTTCGTATTAGCAGACCTCAAAGACAAATCAGTTCTTTAAAAAGTATCTTTCCCTTTATTTCAGAGTGGCTTTGTGTTCATTGTTGAAAATCTAGTTATCAGCAAGTTAATTGAAAATAAATCCCATCGACCACAGAGGATGTTCTTCCAGATACTTGTGTGGTCCTTCGTCTGCCTGAGACCATGTGTTAACACAGTTTAAAGACAGAAAGAAGGAAACCCATACATTGAACCACGAACATTTGCCATAACCTGAAATATCTCTTTACAATGTAATTTTACAATGCTGTATCCCTCCATACAACCATATCAGAATTTGACTTGTCTTCTTGTTGGAAATTTTTGAAGCAATGATTTTTAGTTTAGCCATTGAAGAATGTTAAATGACCAGTTCTCCCCTCACTGATTCCTTTTCAAGAGTTTTTTCTGTCAAATTCAAGTACTGGAAAGGGGTAGGACTTTTGAGGCAGACGGACCCTGAATTTGAGTCTCCACCACATACTAGTTGTGTGACATCAAACAGGAATAGCTGATACGAAGCACCTACACAAAGTAATTCTTCCATGATTCCCTTTCTTTCACTTCTCATGTGCTTTGTCCAAGTATAATGCTGGCCTTGAGGAAAATTTGTAAAACTATTTTCATCTTCTCATGCCTTGGACAAAACAGAGAGAACCAATTTTTAGTAATCAATTTTGACTGTTGATATTCATCTTCTGCTGCCAGTTCTAATTTTTATTTTTTTGTTTCTCTTTTTCTCCTAGAGATAAGATTTGAGTTTCCACAGCTGACTGGAGTGCTGACTCTTGCTTTCTTTATTCATAATTGTATCATCACACTCTTAAAGAACAACAAGAACCAAGAAAACAATGTAAGTAACTATCTGAGGGACTGACTGATATCGCTTGATGACAGACCTTTAAAATCATCATTTAAAATGTTTTATATGTGGAGTATGGTTAACCAATCTTGTTATTGAACCTTAATTTGAAAATTTAAACCATAGAACACAGGTTAGTAAACTTTTTCTGTTAATGGTCAAATGGCAAATATTTTAGGCTTTGTAAACCATATCATCTTTGTTACATCGACTTAACTCTGCCCTCATAGCACGAAAGCAGCCAGGCACTATGTAAACACATAGACGGAGGCCGTGTTTTAATCTAACTTTGTGTAAAACACAGGTAACAAGGCAGATCAGAGCCACGGGCTATTATTTGCCAATCCCTGCCCATCAATCAACCTCTAAAAAAATAAAATGATTTAGCTAAAAGTCAACAGAGTAGTAAAATCAACACCACCCACCCCCACTACCATGGCCCCAGTGTGCTGCTTCTCAATTCAGACTAGACTGGAACATGTACACAGGTATAGATAAGAGATGGGAGCTCACGACACACAGAATGTGGGAATAGCGATACAAGAAGGGTAGGGGGAAGGGGGGATAGGAAGGAAGAAAGGGGGAACTGATCATAATGATCGACACATAATCATACACCCCTCTCGACGGGGGAAGAACAACAGAAAACACGGGGGAAGGGAAACAGTGGTCGGTGTAAGATAAGAAAACAATAATAATTTATAATCTATTGAGAGGTTGTGGGAGGGGGGAAAGAGGAGCTGATCCCAAGGGCTCAATAGAAAGTAAATGTCTAGAAAAGAATGAAGGCAACATATGTACAAATTGGCCCGATGGAAGCAATGTATGGATTGTTATGAGTTGTAAGAGGTCCCCAATAAAATGATCTTTTAATAAAATAAATAAATACCCAAGTGATTCCCAAATCGGGCTAAGAAAAGAAGAAAAAAAAAGAACAATGGATAGAACCAGTATAAAGCAATTAAGAAGATAGTAGATGAAAATTCAATCACATTGTTAATGATATCGCTTCTCGGCCTTTTGGCTAAGATCAAGTGTAGCACATTGTTAATTATATCAAATATAAATGATCTACAGACTCCAACAGAAAGACAGAGACTATCCAACGGACTGAAAAAGTAAGAACTGACTGCCATTTACAAGAAACGTACTTCTACTTACAGCAGTACGTATACCATTACCTTAGTTCCCCAGTGCTGCTGTGACACAAATGCCGCAAGAGTGTGGATTTGAAGACTAGAATGGGGTTTTCTCACAGCGCGTGAGGGTGAGCATTTCCAGGGGGGCCTTGGCCATTGTGAGGTCTCCCTGGTGGTAGTTCTGGCCATTTTTGGCTTTTTGGATTTCCTTTGCTCTTAGGTGTTTCTTGACTTGTAGATACTTTCCACAAATGTGTATTTTCCCCCATATGTGTGTCTCTGTGTTTTCTCTGATCTTTTTGTAACTCCAAAGTGATTGTGTTTAAGATCTACTCTTGCGCACATACCGCCTTATAAGTACTGTGCGCTAACCAATTGTGCCACTGGAGCACCCTTAAGATCTACTCTTAAAAAGAAAAGAAAAAATTACTCTATACTGGAATGTCCTCATTAACATAACAGAAGAAACCCCTGATTTCCACCTAAGATCGCATTTACAAATACAAAAGTCAAGAATTTAAAACAGAAGCAAGCACTAAACATAAAAGTGTAACAGCTGTATTATCATCAGACAAAGTAGATTTCAAAACAAGGAGTATTAAGAGAGTAAAGGGAAACATTATATAATGATAATTAACAATAAATTCATCCGGAAGATACAATATTCAACAAAGGACTTTGTCAAAGTGAAAAACAACCTACAACTTGGGAGAAAAACTGAGGAAATATACTTATAATAAGGATCTACTATGGTAAAAACAAGAAGAAACATGAACAACAAAAGCACAAGCAATCTACTTTTAAAAAGTAGAGTTCCCCAAAGCATATATTCAGATGGTCAACAAGGACATGAAAAGCTGTTCAGTATTAGCCATTCAACCTGTGGCCATCAAGTCAGTTCCAAATAATGTTTACCTTGTATGGCAGAGGAGAACTGCCACACAGGGATTGCCAGGTTAGAATCTTTAAGGACACAGACTGCCCCATCTTTAACCTGCAGGGTGGCTGATGGGTTCGAACTGCCAAACTTTGGGTTAGTAACTGAGCATTTAACCACTGTGCCACTAGGACATTTTCAGTAGGCATTTGAAAAACCCACCTGACTTCCATCAAATTGATGCCTACTTAGCAACCCTAACGTTTCCGAGGATGGGCCTCTTTACAAGAGCTCTTAGATAGCGTTTCCCTAGAAAAGCACATGACGAAATCACGTCAACATTGCCCTGGTCTCATCGTTGCACTGGACATTAATGTTATAACTACCTGTTCACCAAGGGCCTCTATGAAACATTCTTCGTTGTTTTATGACAACTGTAACTAGGATATCCTTCATACAAAGATCATAGGGATCATTTTTTCTGAGTTCAAGCCCAGGAAAGTTTCTTAGAATGAGTTAGGATTCTTAGATAGTAAGGGTCAAATAGCTCTTGACCCCCTATTTTTGCCATGACTTTTGGAAAACTTAAGGATTGTTTTCTTTTTTTATTTTTTATACAGTATAGCTTTTCTTAGGGAAAATTTTGTGGCGGTTGTTTAATTTTTATCTCCCTCCCACTTTAGACATAGCTGGAATCTTGGACATTTTGGGCCTTATTATACTTAGATTTTTGTCATAAGAAATTTCCTATCTTTGGAAGAAGCTTCAAGAAATGCTTACTGCCCTAAATTTACTTCCAGAACTTTGGAATGTGGAAGACAAATTGAGGATATAATTAATGCCCTTGACTTTTAAATTTCTCTTGCTACCCTTTCAAATAGTTCATTAACACCTGAACTTAAGCTGTCTACCCTAAATTTTAGGAAATCTGGAATGATATATAGAAACTACCCATATTATTCTCACAGCAAAAAGAATATATAACATGAATGTGTGTTTTGGTACTCGTGGAAAATAATTTTAAAACTAAGGTATACCAGATAAATGAAAGAAAACCTTAGACCAGAACCTCTTAAAAGATGCTAAAATTCACAATAAAATTAATGAATAGAATCCAACAGTATATTAAGAGACATACATATACCATGACCAAGGGGGATTTATTGCAGGAATGCATGCATCCATGGTTTGGCATTAAAAAAGCAACCCATTGTGTTATGTGTAGGGTCCCTGTGAGCCAGGACCACCTGAACGATATCTAACAGCAACAAACTCTCCATAGTCCTTATGATGCTCACATTGGTTCATATCTTAGCATGCATTAAACTGCATGGAAAATGTTGTCTTTTGACTTGATGGTTTTACCTTTCAGTGGGTCATAGAAAGCATTTTGACTTGTTCGTTTCATTAGATAATACTTTATTGAGAGTAAAGTCAGAAAGTGTGAAATTCTCCAGGACTCTGACTCTATAATGCCGATGTTGGACTAATTATTCCAAGCTCAGTAAATAAAGATTTGAAAATAGAAAAGGGCTCCTTTTTCCCTATACTTATCACCTATAATTGGACTTGGAACTGAAGACATTTGTGGTGGAGAAGTGAAAGAGACGTGTAAACAGGAACTCCACTGGTGCATCAGTTAAACACGCCACTGCTCACCTGAAGGTCGGCAGTTTGAGCCCAGCCACAGGATCCATGGGATAAAAGACCTTGGTGCCCACTCCCTGCAAGAGCACAGCTTAGAAAATCCGGACGGGCAAATGGACAATTTCACATGGGTCATTACGAGTTGAAATTAACTCAACAGCACCTAATGACAATAATAAACTTGTGTAGTGATACAGTTAGTTTTTCAAATTGAGTTTAATTTCATCCATTTTTTATTTGCATAGCCAAAGGTGATGTAATGCATTTTAATATTTATACCTAAACCCAATATGAACATAACACGACTGAAGAACAATCGGGTTGAAGATCCTCCTCTTTGTTTCCTTTCATCAGAGGGCGTCCTAGAGCCCTCCTACGTCATGATAATCACCCTTTGTACTTCCTCATCCTGCTTCGGTCAAAGCCTATACAGTCAGTGCTCTTTTGTTTGCGGTGTCGGGTTTGGCCTCCGTGTCGTTATCCTTTAGTTCTTTGGAAGGTTTGTTGTGTTAGGTACCATCGAGAGGCTTCTGACTCGGCCACCCTGGCCTGTGCCGTCCTCACCGCCATTGTTAGGCTGGAGCCCATTGTGGCAGCCACGGTGTCAGTCTAGCTCCCTGACAGCCTTCCTTCTGTTTTTTACTAACCTTCCTACATTACCAAATATGATGTCTTTTCCCCAGATTTTAGAGATTTCTTCTATATTAATTTATTATTTACTTTTTGCTTCTACACAAGTAATCTGTGTAATTCCTTGGCTACTTCAGCAGAAAATTTTATGTAAATGTTTGGGTAGGTCTGTGTGGTCCATTTCTGTTATTGTTATTAGTAAATGCTCCACTGAGCAGTATTTTCAACATGAAAGATGACTAAAACAAATAAAAATGGTGTTTGGGCAAATAATATGTTCTCAGACCCACTGTTGGCCCCATCGTCGTAAACCTAGCTCTCTTTCCGAGTTGGCACGCTACTTCTCATGCCTTCTCCACCCCTGCCAGCATTACGTATACATGAGGCAGAATAGACTTCCTTATTAATATATTTGTTTCTTGCCATAGTACCAGTTCATATTGTCACTTGTGTCTGTTTCAAAATATGTGTTTTGCTTTGAGCATCACTTTCAAAATAACAGCTTTCCCCACCTTTTCCCACTAAGTGGGCTTTCAAGAGGCCTGGTGCAAACCTATGTTTGAGCCAGAGAATAACATAACCCATATGTGTGCATGCTCCTCATCGGTGGCATGCTTCCCAGGACAATACTGAGCCTCAGCTGCTTTTAGGATGAAAGCATCATTTCTCTTTATTATAGTATTTCCAGATGAAAGTAG